AGGAAGGCCCAGTTAGGATATCCACATTGCTCTAGAGCCTGTCTTGTGTAGGATTTCTCCTTCTGCCTCCTGCCTTTTTTTTTTTTGAATGTCCAGAGGACCAGATTGAACTTTTTTGGATTTTTCTACCTGGATTATTGAGCATGCATCAGGATACAGATCTTATTGTTCCATATTTTCCTAACAGAGCACTTCACTCTCAGACTGCAGGTTTACTTGTGGTTCCTATAATTTACAAAAACAGAATGAGAGGCAGATCTTCCAGTTCTCAGGCTCCTCTCTTGTGGAACCAACTTCCAGTTTCTGTCCATGAGACTGACACATTGTCCAGTTTTTAAAACTAGGCTGAAGACTTTCCTTTTTGATAAATCCTATAGTTAGGGTCGGCTTGGGTTTCCTGAGCTGTCCCTTAGTTATGCTGCTATAGGCTTAGACTGCTGGAGGACAAACTGACCACACTTTTAACTCTACTACTGTCTTTACTTACTCTGCTCAACCTGTTTGTATTTGTAATTATTTTTTCTATCCTTAACATGTTTTTGTTTTTCAGATACACCTGGACCTATACCTGGACCTGGACCTATATCTGGACCTGGACCTATACCTGGACCTGGACCTATATCTGGACCTACCATTCTGTGTTAGTCTGTCTCTCCTTCCTGTCCTCTCAACCAGCCGGTCAAAGCAGATGGTCTCTTGTCCTGAGCTGGTTCTGTTGGAGGTTTCTTCCTGTTAAAGGGAGTTTTTCTTTCCACTGTCTCCACTGTGCTTGCTCAGGATGGGAGACTGCAACGAAGCCAAGATTCAACTTGTCTGCTGGATTCCTTAGATAGAGAACTTTACTAACTGGATTTTATGTGAATGTTCCTGTAAAGTCCCTGAGACAACTTGTTGTGATTTGGTGCTATATGAATAAACTGAATTGAATTGAATCAACTGTTCTTACTTTTTTATCATTTGTTCTTTCTGTTTATATGAGCTGTTCTTATAGTTTTGTTGTCACTT